TGGCGCCACTATACATTACTGATGTTTCTTGCACTCAGTGAGAGATTTTTTAAGAATTTTTAATAAAAAGTTATAAATATATTAATAAATCGCAGTATAAGACTATTTCTTGGAGAACCAGTTTTTTGCATGGTTCAACTTATAAGGCTTTATCAAGAAGCAGATTTGAATATAATATTAAAATATACATATATCAAAATTATAATGAAGAATGACTTACAGGAGATAACCAAATCTACACACAAAAATATTGTTTTCGTGGAATATTAGAAGAAATTAGGAATATAAAAGAAGGACAAAAATTCTATATACATATATATTGTTACTATTACATTATTAATTTTTAGAAATTGTGTTCATAATCAATTTGTTTTGATTTAGTTTTTAGAAGAAAAATTAATCGGCATTTACCATCATGTGGCAGACATCTAGCTAGTAAAAAAATTATCTAGTTTAGATAGTAATTCATTTCCGTACTCGTGTTGATTTTGACAGTAATGATCAGTCTTTTATAAAACTACAATTCAGCAAAATTTCATGTATAAGTCATTAACTACAATAACCAAATTGTTTTTGTTAAAATGTATTCTACTCCTATATTAAATGTATGTTTTATCTTTTTTTGAAATTAGAGTCAAATGAAAAAGAGAAAAATCTGTTAATGTAGTTACTGTGAACAAAATTAGTTTATGAAGTATTTTCTTTACGTCTGTAATTGAAGTTGTGAACATTATCAGTGACATCGGTATTTTTACTTTTAGAGTTTTTACATGATTAATCCTTAAGCCTAACCCCATTTCTTCTTCATCTTCCATTTTTGATGATGACAAGCCATACTGTTGTATTCAAATTCGATGACGAGCCGTCTCCAGCCATTATCATACTGTTGTATGTGTCTTAGTTTTGCAACAAACAATGTTCAGAAAATGATTTGTAAAATGAGAAATATCTTAACTTGGAAACATTGGTTAGTAACAGACTTTAGACTATGTACCTTCGTCTGTAAGTGAACATGTATCTCGTCACTGTTATTGGAATGATATTTTTATAAGATAGGCTCAAGAAAGAAAATTTAACAGAGATCTAAAATCATAAAATTGCTGGTAGGATAAAGAACATGGACATTTTACCAATTCCTTTTCTAGTATAAACACTTTTTTCAAAATAATTAAAAATGTCTCGATTCTAAGCTCTTCATCAATTAATATTTATTAATAAAAGAAAGAGAATATAAATCAACATGGTATACATATATAACATGGTATTAACATGGTATACATATATAACATGGTATCAACATGGTATACATATATAACATGGTATCAACATGGTATACATATATAACATGGTATCAACATGGTATACATATATAACATGGTATCAACATGGTATACATATATAACATGGTATCAACATGGTATACATATATAACATGGTATCAACATGGTATACATATATAACATGGTATTAACATGGTATTAATATGGTATACATGTATAACATGGTATTAACATGGTATACATATATAACATGGTATCAACATGGTATACATATATAATATGGTATCAACATGGTATACATATGGTATCAACATGGTATACATATGGTATCAACATGGTATACATATGGTATCAACATGGTATACATATATAACATGGTATCACCATGGTATACATATATAACACGGTATGAACATGGTATACATATATAACATGGTATAATAGAATGAATTTCATAACGTAATCAACAAATATGAAATAGTCAGTTATTTGAGTTTGTCAGTGTATACCTGATTATCTCACATGTTTGTACAGTGATCAATCATTTTAAGCCCAGTTTTTGGGGACAATCCTCCTTGTAAGGGAGGGTCAGGACTGTAAAGACAGTATTGTGATGTATGTTGTTAATATTATTTTGTCTCTTTGTGTTCTTATTAGTTTTTTTTTCTTTCAGATCTAAGATCAGTAAAATTCTGAAAAAACTAGTTCAGGATGACTGACATACATGACAGTGCCCTTGAGAACAGATAAAATTATTCAGAACAGTTATTGTTTTAAGTGCTGATAAATGTAGGTATTGTACAAGAAAATTTACAGGTTGAACACCATATTGAAATACAAAAGTTTCATTGATCCACAGAAGTTTTTTGTTAAGTGGAATTGCAGCAGTTAACAGGAACAAATATATTTAAAAATAGTGGAAGGCAACATTGTTAATGCGTGCAACAGTACGAGAGTGGTCTCAGTAACAATAAGTGAGTGAATGGTTGTTGTGCTGACTTGGTGATGTGTCATGATGTATGTTCAGCAGCCAATCAGGTACACGTTGAATTATTAACCTCTTGGTAAATTAAAACAATATATTCAATAAATAATATTTTTTTTGTAGTTACACACAAGAGAAGATTTTATTTCCAGCCAGAGCACAGGATTTGGTAGAAAGATTTAAGGCTTTATCTCTTGTTTTTAAATCCAAGTTTGGAAATATTTGAGAATATTTAGGGGGGAGTAAGTAATGAAGAATTTGTTTATAATTTTTTCTCACTAACAAGAGATCAGTTAGAATTTCTGTATAACAATTTCATGTCATTTTTTATTTTTTGGCTTGAATAAGTATTTTTTTTCAGTAGTTTAGGTGCTAGTCTAAGCGTGATAGAGAAGTGCAACACTTACACTGATTGGTTGCTAGAACACCCAAAAAATATTTACTCTGTGTGATGCAAAGTATGCTAAAAAAAAAGAGGAAGAAACTTGTTTTCTTTTTTATTTCCATTTCATTGTTTGTGTTATTGCCTGTATGAATGATGTATTTATTTTATTGCTGTGTGGCTGAAAATAGAAACATTTGTTTTTTTTTAAATATGTTATTGATACTTATATGTAATTAAAAGACGAACTTCCTGAGCCTATTTTACCTACATATGGTGAACAAAACATTAAGAAGTTACTATTGTAATCATTTTGGTTGTTTTTCCTTGCAGGTATCCCATTAAAGGTAATGAGAAATACTGTAATGGGGGTACTCATGGCTATGACAACATGGCTCCAAGTATGGACGTAAGATTTTAATGACTTTATTTAACACATTTTATTTCCCTTTATCAACCTTTTGTTAATCTTTTTTTTTCCTTTTCTTAGTAAAATATTTTATTAAGATGTGTCTTCTCATTTTTTTAGAGACATGAAAGTTTAGAAATATTTATATGAAAAACTGATACCACATTTTGATTATATATCTTTGTTGTTAAGCTTTTAATCATAGTAAAGCTCCATTATAGAGCTATTTTTATTCCTGAAGATAATTGAAGAATTAGTGATTGTCAAATGTCTCTAGGTTCTATGAGATTTTTTAATTAGAAAAAAATTACATTTTTGGGTTATATTACTTACCCAATAGAGTGTAATCATAAACTGTGGAAGTTAAAAATAAGTTGTCTGACTTGCTATAGTGTACCGTGTTGAAAAACTTATAATCAGTTGTTTAAAACTTGCAGCCAAAGTATAATAATAAATGTAAAAATGTATTAAAAACACCAGGAAAAAGAATGGTGCAGCCAATGTTTGATCAAATGCTTTCATTCAGACGTTACGAAGTAATATATCACGTGGTATCTATCATAAAGAAGTAGTTTTCCAGGAAAAAAATTAACTATTGGGCTGATAGATGGCAATCATCAGTAGGCGCAATTCCACTGGGGTGCATTTTCACTCAAATACTTGTAAATTAATAATAGGTTAACTATTAATGAAATGTTTATTTGAAGTGTCATCCAATCTTTTGTTTACATATTAGTTAATAGTGCGAGCAAAGATTCTCATTGTGTTTTTTTTTTGTTTTTTTTCAGACTTTGTTCATTGCACATGGACCAGCATTTAATCGAAATGCCAGTGCCACACCATTCCTCAATCTAGAAGTTTATGAACTTATGGCTGGTAAAATATTTCTGTGTTTATGTTATTTCTATAGCAGATGCATTCTAACGACATTTAAACAGAGAAATATAATTACTTATTGTGGGACAAAGTGAAAAATACAAATAGAATTTCTAAAACATACTTACTTCTGCTGCCACTTACAGCTATTACTCAGCCACCAGGGTTTCAACTTTGCCCGCCTAAGCATTGGCGAGATTTTTTGTCACTTACTCCAAAGAATTTAGACATGGGGTTTCCTACAGAAGTGCTGCAATACTTAATGTCTTTGGTTGCAATTTTTGCGTCACCTAGTGGGTTTCTTTATAAATTATATTTAATAAATATTACTTTAAAAAAAATGATTGACACAATGTTGTCAGGCATGAATTCACAGGTTACTGTTTCAAGCATGGAGACTAATCAGCCTTCCTCCATTTCACCTCTGTTATCAAACATCTTTCAAAGATTAGGAGGGGGTCACTCTCAGTTGAGGCTGTCTGGAGGCATTTCACCAAGGGTTTCTGAGGTTGCTTTTGCCAATGATCCAAGACAGTCTAGAGAGAATTTGGACTCTTCTTTTTCCTGTGCCTTCGTTTACTAGGTCGGATTCTCATGAGGCCAATTTGAATCAGCCACCTCCTGCTCCATTTCTTCAATTCATCAGTCAGGTTTGTGAGGTTTTGGGGCTTTCTCCAGTTGCCTTTGAATCTACTCTTTCCTTGATGGCTGAAAGGTCGGAGGGTGACTACTTAGTTTTTTTTCTCCTTCACCCAATATTGCTGCTCATGCTGGAAAATTTACTGCTCAATTACGTGAGAGGATTGCTGTGCCTTGGCCACCACATTTGTCTGAACAGCATACGTTGACTTACCACTATCTGGAGGACGTATATTTAGATTCCGAAAGACTTGATCCTCTTTTGGATATGTGGGGTTCCAGATTGGACCCTGTGATAACTTTGAACAAATCACAATTTTCTCGAATTTGTTTGGCCCTTATTACTATTTTGAGATATTTATTTTCCCTCTATATTTTGTAGGAATTCTATCAGCATTCCCCACATAAATTTGAGGACAAATTGGGTCTTTTGCTGACTTCTACTTTGGTAAGATTGTTAGCTTATGCTCTTTCTTTGGTTTCCTGGCTTATAGGTTGTTGAAATTTATTGCGTAGGGAGTTTTTCTATCTGCTGTAGCCCACTGTGAGTTACCTGAGGCTCCTTTTCTTCATCCCTTGATGTTTATGGGCATCCCAGAAGCATTGAAATCATGGATTGATGTTGCCTGTTTGAATTCTTCCTTGTTGTCATTGGCCCTTGGACTTTCATTGGCTCCTGCTGTAAGTCATGGTATGACTGCTTGTCATATGTCCTGACCCCCTGGCTTCTGCTCCTTGATCTGATGGTACTTAGAATATATTCTGTTCTTATCTTCAAGGCTTCTCCACTCAGGCAGTCCATTGTCAGCAGCATCTGTGACTATCCTCTCTGGGTGGGAGCAAGGTTACATTTCCTGGACAACTGGAATTCCTACACCACAGATCCATGGGTACTTCAAGTTCTGGCACCAGGGTTGGTCATTCAGTTCACTTCTCCACTTCCATTATCCTCCCAACAGTGGTATTTCTATCCCAACAGATCCACAGAGTGTGGATCTTCATTCCAAAGTTATCAGAGAGTTATTGGTCAAGGGGGCAGTATTGAGAGTCAATCCTGTTTTTCCGGGATTTTATTCTCATTTATTTGTTATGCCCAAGAAGACAGGAGATTGGCGGATGATCATCGATCTTTCTCATCTCAATCAATTCTTAGAACTTTCCAGGTTTACAATGGAGTTCTTTCTAAACCTACATTGGCATTTTTCACCAGGTCTATGGATGACCAAGTTTGATGTTGCTGATGCATATCTCCACATTCCCATAGCAAAGTCATCCTGCCACTATCTACGTTTCATGCACAAAGGTAATTTTCTGCAGTTCAGGGCTCTGTTCTTTGGGATAGCATCTGCAACATATGTCTTCTGCAGAGTCCTATGACCTTTTTCTCGTTAGCTTCATGCTTTGGGCCTGTGCACACACCATTATATGGACAACTGATAACTTCTAGTACCATCTCGTTAGTTGGCAAAACAACACATCCAAATTCTCTTTTCAGAAGTCACCAAGGCTGGCTTGTTTTATCAAAGCTCTTGCTGACTCAATATATTGTCCATCTAGGTGTCTTTTCCAACATGTTTTTAAGCTGGGCTCAGTTGACTCCCATCTGGCTTCAGGATATGGAATGGGCAGTCAGGCTCTTACTCCTGCCTCCTTCTCCTACTGCGCAGATGGTTTTGTCCCTTTTGGGGATGTGGGCATTTCTCGAATCTCTGATTCTTTTCAGAAGAGCACACACGTGGTCCCTTCAGTAGTTGTTGTGCAACTAATGGATCATGAACTGTGATCCACTGGATCATCCAGTCTCCTTAATCAGGAGCAACATCTTAGATCTCGAGTGGTGGTTGGATCAGACCAACAATACTACTGGTGCACCTATACTGCCCCTTGTATCAAGATTAACCTCTTCACAGATGCCTCACTTCAGGGATGGGGTGCATATCTTGATGGTCAGGAATTCCAGGGTCTATGGGTGGAAGACAAATCTTCCTCCCACATCAATATTCTAGAAATTCTTGCTGTCCAACAGGCAATGATTCAATGTCTCGATCTATTAAAGAGGAAAATCATCATGATTCATTCTTACAGTTCTACAGTGGTCTCTTACAATTGTTTTTGAACATTGGATATTCTCTACTGGACTAACTCCCATCATATCAACCTCCTGGCTTGCCATGTTCAAGGGGTAATGAATCTAATATCAGATCACTTGTCTCGACCTGACTGAATGGATGCTCCATTGTGAGGTTTTCTGGTGGATTTGCTCTCAGTTCGGGACTCATTGGAACTCTCAACTATAGCTTATTTGGTCCCTGGTATCTCATACTTGGGCTTTGGTGATAGGTGCATTTAGTCAAGATTGGATGGGATTGCACCTCTATGCTTTTCTCCCAATTTGTCTGTTATCCAGTGTTCTGGCTATGATTTGATCCAGTACTTGTTGAGTACTGTTGGTAGCCCCATATTGACTGACCCAACCATGGTTTCCTCTTCTACAGAATCTTCAAGAGTGTCCACCTCTGCCACTTCCTCTTTGGCCATCACTATTGAGACAACCCAAATCCAACATTCTACACCCAGACAATCCCAAGCTTAAACGTTATGTATGGAACTTACATGGCTCTTCACTTCTAAAGTTCTCTTGTATTTGTTTCAGTCTATCTGTAGACCCACAATGCTATTTATCCACAGAGATGGCACTCTTATCACCAATGGTGTCTCACAAGGAAATTGAACCCACTTCAACCAAATGTGCCCACCATATCTCGTTTTTTTGACCGTTGCTTTATATAAGGCAACCTTATCGACTATTTTTCGATATTCTAAACATCAAAAAGTATTTGAATCCCCAGTGCTACCCGGCTTTCTCAAATCGTTTAGAGTCCTTCGTCCCAAACGGCCTTTTCCACTTGGGAAGTGAGATGGTATTACATGCTTTGTCTTGACATCCATTCGAGCCTTTAGACTCAAGTACCATGTATCTCCTTTCCCTTAAAGGGTATATTTTGTTGTGTCCTTTTAGAGCCCTGAGATGTTATGTGGCTCGCACTAACTCCTTTCGAGGTGATGGTACTCAACATTTTATTCATTGGGATTCTTTGGTTTCCTTAGATTAATCCCCAATTATTTTGATGAGGTGGCTTCGCAAATTGATCCATAGTGCTTATTCTGGACTTTCTTTCCTGGTGAGGAAACTTCTGAAAATCACATTTCATCAGTTTTGTCACATTTCTATGTCTTTAGCTGCCCTTTTTGAATTGCCCACTGAAGGACACCGTAAAGGCCGATATATGGCCTTCTCCCAATACTTTTCTCTCACATTCTTTACACAATGTGGCAGTTTCTTCTTCTGAGGGTTTTCGACTACCACCTGTGGCCATTTTAACAACATTTCCTACATTATAAGGAAGAGTGAGCACCTTTTGTCTTCCTCTTGTCTCTTTATTTTGCAGGATCCCTTACTTACTTACTTCTTTTTTTCACTGGATCCCACTCTGTGGTGAGTGATGCCCAGATAGGTGTACTTTTATCAATACAATTCCCCACTAGTAACCACTACTTCACTATACTTGGTAACGGTTGCAACAGGCTCTGTAGAAATGAGATGTTCCATAGGACCATCTAGGAGCTCACCAGATGGAATTACCATATTATGCTGGATTGCCATTCATGGACTATCATGAGTAAAGCTAAAGAGGATCCTGACCATCCCTGCCGATCATTGGATTGAATAAATCAAGGTCTGTTTGCTTTTAAAAGTTTAGGGAACCTGGTTCACCTATTGCACTGTTCCTCAGGACTCCTCAATGAGCATTAACCCCTAGAGTTAGACAGTCCTTACCACACCCAGTTTCCAGTCACTGAGGTGGTGGACAGAGGCTTTTCCACCAGATGTCGGTATGTGCAGCACCATCCTATGTGGGAGCCTACCTGTAATGCTGGTTCAGATTTTATATTCGGATATCTGGTTGGGATGTGCATGACCCTTCTTTTGATCAATATCGGTTTATTATATTGTTTGTGGAAGGAGTTCCACTAACTCCATGTAATTCCGATTGCAGAGTGGTCCCATCCTGGGTCCTTGGATGAGCACAATATTCCATGCCCTCTCCATAATTCCGGGGGCAAATGGAAGGTTCCTTGTCCAATCGGTTGCGGAGTAAGGATGAATGTTCATAATTCCAGACTGGATTAGTTCTGTTCCTTTGGTTGAGTAAGGCATGCATGATCCCATCATTCCAAGCCTGGGGTGTTGCCTTTCAGGATTCTTCAGGTGGAGAAGAAAGTTTGTCCGCTTCGGTGTTGTTTACCTTTTCATTGTAATTCTAGTGATTTGGAACACATCACTTTATGGCTACAGGTTGGGATATAATCAAATGTATATCTATATATAATTTTGCAGTCCAATTGCCTTAGCCACCAATGTGAGATATAGGGTCCAAGATCCCATAATTCCAATAACAAATTGTAGAACCTTGGCTATCTGGTTGGGACTGGCCTGTAGTGATGATTACTCATGTACTATTCCACCCTTGATACAGGATGAAGAGCATACCTGTTTTGGATGTAGTGTGGTTCCCCCACTTGGGTACCACTCTTATCTTGGTACACCCTTGATCTATTCAGACACTTTCTGTCTGGATAGAGCCTTTACTGGCCCCTCCACCTTCTCAATGTGAAAATCTTGCCGTAAGTGTCAGTGGAGGTAAGTATGTTTTGAAAATGTATTTCCAATAATACTTGCCTCCGCTGATACTCTCCCACCCTTCCTCCCTACAAAGAGCTGGTGTTAGAGACTGGGATGGAGTTAGTCTAAAAAAAGTGATAAAATTACCTTGAATGAGATGCTTATACAGTATATAGTACCAGGATAGAGGATTCATTAACATAGGTGGAGAGTGTCACAACACAAATATTGCCAAGAGCAATTTAGTGGGATATAAAAGACTTGAGAAAGTGAGAAAAAAATCAAACCAATATTTAGATGAGCAAAGAAAGAAACCATGGCAGTCGATTAATAGCTATAAGTGTCAGTGGAGGCAAGTATTATTGGAAATACATTTTCAACTTAGGAAAAAGTTAACTTACAGTTTTTTAAAAGAAATGTTGTGAAATTCAATATTTCCAATTAGACCTAGTCACTAAAAATGTGAAAACAAAATTTGTCAAAGGTGAAATAAGATTTATTATGATTAGAGAAAAATCCCAACAAATGGTTTTTAACTTTTGTTTACAAGTTTATCAGGAATACAAAGTATAGAGAGTTGGACTTATGTTTGTAATTTCAATAATAATTCTTCAGGTAGAGAATATGTGTAAATAAACCTTTTTCTGTTATAGTACTGGAACTGTTATTTTAGAATATGCATAAGTATTGTTATAGTTTTTACATTTGTTGTTTTAAAGTTTGCTGTGAATATAAATTAACATTCATTTGGCACATGTTACCTTCTAGAACTCATTAATATAACAGCTGCCCCAAACAATGGCACGAGAGGGAGTTTACACTACATGTTACACAATCCTCTACCCCTTCCGAATGTTGAGCCTTCCAGTGAGGTACAAGTGTGTGAAGCAAACTTTGACAAAGAAGAAGTGACGAGGAAAAGGCTAGCTGCTAACTGTTCGTGTACTCGGGTAATATAGATTTCTTATCAATCTATATTTGTCTTTAGTTTGTTCAGTTTCCTTATCTTTGTTATTTTAATCTAATGACAAAACTAGTTTTATCATAAAGAAGGGAAAGAGGAGTTTATCAAAACTTGATATTTTATGTAAGACTGGGTGAAGTTTCTTATGTTCATTGGAAACTATTTTTCACACTTTTTACATGTTTTAACCCTTTCCCCCTGGGCATCCTTTACTATGCATGACAGAAAGTTTTAGTGTCTTAACAAAAAAAAAAAATTATTAAACTACTTTTTGTTTATGTTATACCAATTAGTATAGCATAAAGTTATAGCTAATAACCCATATTTTAACAAGTTTTAAGTTCCTAATTGTACAAGGCAATATTTTAAACAATCTTGAATTTCCCCTAGTGTGACCTTTGTGACATATTTTCTCTAGGCATCATGTCCTCTCTATTTTATCCATCACCCCTTGAAAAAGTATGAAATTAAATATAAATTACTCTCTATAAAATCATCATTGCTTAAATGAACCATAATTTTTATAGCCTTCAATTTTGTTTGGTGACAGAACTATAAATCGAAAATTACACCCACCCGTCACGTCCTCTCTTCAGGCTTTGTTAATAGTTATCTTTTACGTTTAATTATATATTACCTATAACCAATAGAAAGTCAAGGTTTTCATCTGTCAAATGAAATATTGTATAATGTGTTCTGAACAGATAAGCAACAATTTCACTCAGTGTACAATCTTCATTCCCATGAGAAGGTTAACGACTAGCTTGGATGAATTTGTAATGGTTCTTGTCTTATAGTTAGAAAACCAGAAAAGTTTTGAGAGTTAGGGGAAATTGTCTACTTTTTGCATGTTATTAGTCTATGTTGCATTATTTAATTAAATGTAAATTATTTAATGCACTACAACCATTAGTATAAAATATGTAGGCTTAACTATAATAGATAATCGACAGCAAGAAAATAGAAGATTGGGTAAATTATTTATTTCTTGTTTGTTAGGTTAGTTAAGATTAGATGAGGTAAAATAAATAATATATACACCTGGAAAAAAGTTAAGCACCCCCAAATATTTTTCAGGATTGCTTATTGAAAATAAGGTTTAATTTTTATGATGTTGAGCAATGTTCATAATTTCAAACATAATTAAAAGGATGTGAGCGTT